AAATAACATAGTTATGTATAATATATTACATTTCTGACTGTATATCTCTGTAATTATTACACACTGTAGCTTTAAGAGAAATCCAGAAGTTTCTTTTTACTTTTTACATTTAAAGACAAAGCTGTTGTTTAATTATGCTGCGAGAGGGTGAGAGAGAGCAGGACTGTCAATAGGTAACCAACCTTTCAGAATAATGCTAAACAGCACAACCAAGTAAGCGGTTTTTATCTGTGCAGTGAAACAGGTTGGATTTAGAAAGGTTGGCAGCCTTTTGGAAGTCTAGGAGCAAAGGTAAGCACCTAGACGGTCTAAAGAATAACCACAAGATTTGCTGTTTAAGCACTGTTAGCAATGCTAACTGGTCAAATAAAATACTAAAAGAAGTTCAAAATGAGAGATACAAGCTTAAGAAAAATGTTCATGATTGCAAAGCATCATGGGTAAAAACTGGAAATACCTTAACACTAAGTTTACATTTCAATACATAGTGATTTTCAGTGCTTACCAATCTGAGCATTGTCATACAGCAGCAGGTCGTAGGCACCCTGGTATCCCGTACGATAGTTGGTTCGTGTGCCGCTATCCCACTGAACTACCACTGTCTTGTCTGGAGTTGTCGTGCTCCCCTGCCGTCCGATCTCCACCACGGTGCCCACGTGCCCCTCGCCGTCGTCTTGGTTTCCCCACTTCCAGTCAAGGCCGCGCACCACACGCATGCCCACTTCCATGCTGCCTCTTTTAGGGCCCGGCCTGCAGGCTGAAGGCAAAGGCCGAGGCCTGGCAGCACAGTCCCCTGCGCTGCTGCGCCTCCGGGCCTTGTGAGAGGCGGAGGCGGATCGTGCAGAGGGTATCGCCGGGACCGACGGTACCAGTGTTGTTTCAGGGAACAGATCAGGGGTGACTATAAGAAAGACGAAGGTAGAAGTGCAAGAAACCTGTTAGAAATACAATATAACTGCAGAAACACAGGATTAAAAGATAAGTGACATAAAATCACCTTCATATGCCTTTTATTTATCATCTATCAAATAAACATGATGCCATATAGATCCATACCACTACTTTTATACAAGGTAAACCTCCAACCTGTGAGCACTTTTGCACAGCCTACGCACAACTGTAAGCTATTGTCGAGGGATTAAAAAACAACATGCCACATGTCTCATTAATTTTCGAGCAGAGTTCTGTTGGCTGGCTGATCTTTCACTGGAGGCCTCGCTATGTGTCATGGCTTACTTCTGCAGAGAGCAGCTGGACTTGACTGCTGCATCCCGCTGCTTTTATCAAGCCCTGACCTGCCACAAACACACACAGACACATTTGCACTGACATCTTAAACAGGATCCACAGGTGCTGTTGAGCCCCTTTTGGCTTTGTACCAAACTCACAGCGAAACAAGCAACACCAACTGGAAGTTTGAAAATAGGGAAAAAATAAAAGGTTTAAAATAAACCACTCTTGTAGAAAGAAAAAAGAAACATTTGTGAACACTTAAAGACAAACCTTAAACTGTAGCCAAACGCCATAAGACTAAGACTTTTTTTTGATAACATAAATAAATAAAAAAAAACACATATCTAAAGAAACTTTAAAAAGATCACATCACCTATTCCTTTCTAAGAGATATTAAATCAGATTCCACTTTTCTGTTTTAGGTCTGTTAGGAATACTAACATTATATCTGATTCCAAAAAAAAAGAAAATGAAAGGGAAGCTTCTTCAATTCAAAATGTCAGGATTAGCGATGAGTTCAAGGTTTTATACAGTAGCCCAACAAAACCTTGGTTTTTTTATTTCAAACTTGGAAATAAAGTCCTTGGATTGTTTTTAATTTCCTTTTTTTGGAATGACTATGACCTGGATGACGGGGAATCTTCATCAGCATAATTTCTGATTAATTATTGCAAGGAGAGGATTTTAAAGGGAAAAAGGAAAAAAAATATGTATTGAATTCTATTCAGAGGTTTAAATAAATTAAGAGCAACAAGTCTTTAAACCAGAGGTCATGGATTAGAGCACCTGCTGGCTAATCCGGACCCAACCTGATTTAAAACATTTATGAAGTTAGTTTTTTGAATATATAAGAATTATGCTCTAATTTGTAGTCACCAATCTGTTGTTACTAACTTACTATATTTTAATTTGACAAACAAGATCTTCTCGCTGTTCTTTTTCCTGTTTGGTGCGATTGCAATGGCGGATCTTGACCTGGCCGGACCGGATTGGAGCCCGCACATTTCAAGTATGTTTGGCTTAACCTGCTGCTGTGAAGCAGGATTCTCCACCATGAACAGAATCAAAAATAAATATCGATCCATGCTCACTAATGAGCACCTTGATATGTGCTTTAGAATGGCTTTGTCTCCATTCAAACCCAAGTTTAAAGCCTTGCAGGGCAGCGTAAAGCCCACTGCTATCATTAAACCATAAAAAAGAAAGAAAAAAATTACGGTCAGTTCAGGTGTTTTATAAAATATGTGAATCAGGAAATTGTCTATATACCAAACTGAAAGATTGTTGTTCTCTACTTAAAAAAAAAAAACACTTTAGATTTTTATTTTTTTTAAATATTTTTTAAAGGAACATTTTCCATTTGATAAAGTGCATCAGTGATCAAATGTAACATCTATTAATTTTATTGTTCTGGAAGGTTAAATGTCAAAGCAACAATAAAGCCAATCAGAGGCAGGCTGAGCAATCAGCTCAAAAGGGAAATATCTAGTTCAATACATTGCAACAACAATAAGAAAAGAACACACATTTAATAAATACATGAGATTATTGTTTCCCTGTTTTTCTTGTTGGAGGTTTTTGCTATGATTTCTTTCTAATGTCAAACTTCCTGCAAAGCATTGCAAGAAGGTGGCACTAAATGTTTTAATCAGGTCATACAGAATTTGTTTAATCATACCAAAAGCAACAAAAACTAAATAGTTATAAGTGGAATTAAATAAATATAAATAATTTCAGTCATTCTGAACAACCAAAATTAGGAAATATAGTAAAAGAAGCCTAAGCCTTGTCACAACAAAAGAGATCCAAGGGCTCTCGTTTCAAACCCATAACAAAATGCACTATTGGTCCCAAATGAATGCGGAAGATTGCTAAGAGCTAGAGACAGAAAATAATAGTCAAAGGAAGCAGCATTTACAGGATATGGAAGCTTGAGTCAGCAGTACAAGCAACGGACTTCTGCTGAGGACCGTGATAATCTAATTAAACCCATTAATCGCATATGACGTTTTGAAACCTTTTATTCATGTAATTGCACTAGTTTTTTTGACTTATATGTACAAAATTAGGTGTCAAATCATACAACAAGAAATGAAAAATGTCAGGAATGCCTTTCTATGTGGCATCAAATTTAGAATCCTTATGGCTATTAACTTAGTAATTCTTCCAACAGAACCTACACGTTTTAAACAACCAGGGAAACCTAATTTATGCCTGCCTGCCTATTTGTTTAGCTTGTTAAATAAAATTGAAAAAAAGAAGACATAATATACAAATATACTTCCAACTGACCAAACAATCACCATGATTTAGAACTTTGAAGTTGCTATTTAGTAGCCAGCAGAGAACATATAATTGGCAAAAGTTGGAGAAACAAAAACCGAATCTATAACCAACAGCACCCTCGATGGCTGTTGGATATTCCTACAACTAGTGACTCAGCAGAAAAAGAAAAAAAGAATGAAGCTTATTCTGTACAAAGTGTAAAAAAAAAATGATGGCGGTACAGAAAATTAATGTGAACTATCAGGCAATGCCATCTCTGACATGACATCCTTTGTGTTCAAAAAGAATTGCAAGGTCCATTTCCACGACACTTAACCTACAGTAAATGTCAAATTTGAGCCGGAACATGGATGGTCTTTGTGGAGTCTTTGCTACATCTTCTGCCATAAGGAAGCTGTGTGCCCCACTTAGCCTTGGAGTTCCTACTGATACCAAGGCCTTCCAATACAAACAGCGAAGAAACCAAAAGAATGACCTCAATCCTCTAATGTTCATATGACAGCATTGATGATGGTGTTCCCTCCATAAAGTAATGTTAAAAAGTGATGGTAGAGGTGCAGAAACCACCCAGATAATGCATATCCATAGTGACAGATTTGGCATATGTGATTTGACTATTGTTGGGAAAGTGCTGGTGATTTGTAGATTGATCATGGAAAAGGACAACATCTATAAAGCCTGGCTTACACTGTACGATTTTTTGCCCTTTTCGTGCAGATTTTCCAGTCTAATTTTTCGATCGGGCCGACTTTCAGCCTGATCGTGCATCATGTAGTGTATAGGGGATAACGAGGGGCTCTTAGCCTCTCACGACCAACTCCCGATCAAGAATCAATAAGGTCGGGAGAAAATCAAACGTTTGAAATTCAGTCGGCTGTCGTGGGAAAATCGCTCAGTGGGCGGGAGCAAGAACAAAGATTCTTCTGCTTCATCTCCTTCTCTCAGATGAAAGCACAAAAGCATGTTGGGGTGTGAGTGAAATGGAGTTCTTTCTGTAAAATTGACAGACTGTAGCACCAACGTTTAATCAGCCATGTCTTTGTCCAAATACGTTGTTGCCTTTTCTTTTTAGGACTTTTAGGACAGCACAAATTTGCACAAATTGTCAAGGCAGCATTTCACTTCAGTGGGCTTCATATTCCTCTTCCACTCATTTGGCTTCTGGATAGATTGAGCACTAGGTGCTAGCTTTTCTAGCACCTATTAAATGTCTTCAATTAAATGTCAACAGAAACAAAAAAAGCAATCCACTTGGTCATGGCAAGTTTTGGTTTGGTCAAATAAACATGTTTGGAAAAGTAGAAATGGCTCTTACTGCAACTTTGTGCACAGTTGTAATTTTTTGTAGGTATTTAACTTTAAATTAACAACAAAATATGTACTTGAAAACCACAATTTCAAGGATGTATTTTTGAACTTAGCATAAAAGTTAAAATAACCAAAATAAGATGAGGGACAGATGACTAAAAGCAGCTAAGATTGTGAATACAACATCTTTATTAAGATTAAAAGCTCGGTTCAGCTTTAATCTACATCAGCTTACCCTTGAAAACATACGGGATACAGGGATTTAAAGACAAAGTAAGCTGCTTAGACATTGTTTTATGTCCAAAATGACAGCTTAGCCATGATGTGCACAAAAATCCTGTCATCAGAGCTGACAGAATACAGAAAGAGGATTTGTCTCTCATGGAAGCAATTAACAGGATTCTTCTTGTGAGATCCTTTAACTGATAGTATTAAAACACATTTAAAATTGCTGTAAAACAGCAAGAAGGAAAAAATAATGGTTGTCTAAACCCTACATGGAAACTCCCTTTCAAAACTATCCTATACCTCAAACACCAAACACTCTGCAGGCCCTATCAGTGTGTTGAAACAGTGCTAACTCAGGCTTACAATTACAAAATAGTCAATTACTGAAAAGTCAACACAATAAAGGATGTTTTATGGAAGACTCTGCATTCTTAACGAGGTCCTTAGAGAGATCCAGTTTACTCTAACATGTTTTAGACCGGAAATACTATAAATGTTGTATAGTGGTTTAGCAATAAATATTCTTCAAGGTGATAAAGAATATGTCCAGGGAGCTACAGATTACCGTGATGGTAAGTAGGCTTTCCAAACTCAAAGATTTCGTAGCTCAAAAATTCACTCGCCTCTTCTGGAGCTGCATTTCACCTTTCGTTATTAATAGTCTAGTTAACACAATCAGATAAACACAAATCAAATGAACATTGTGCCAAATAAAAAAAAACACACACAAAAAAAAAAAAAATCGCCATCAGAGCCAGTGGTACCTCAAACACGGCTATGCCGTGACTGGGGTGAAGCAGACGGGCTAAGGTTAACCCTGGCTGTGGCCGTTTCTCAATTCACAAG